GGTATTTTTTTCTAACTCCAAACATAACCAAGATGCAGTAACGATTTCTTAAATGAACGTGATTCGTAAGTTGATCATATCTATCTCTGCAGGATCTCTCTTAGAGTTAAGCTGGGTGACTGATTCCTGTAAAAATAATTTGTATAAAGATAAAATCGACTCGGATACGATATAGCTGATGTATTTCACCACCGTTCATTTTAAGAATCATCGCTGTATCTCTATGATTAGAGCTAGAAAATCCATCTCTGGCCCATGTTGAGCCAACCTAATTTATAAAGAGGAGAATGGTACGTTTCGTAACTCCTTGAAATATACAGATGCATACTATCTAAAAAAATTCTTTTTATCGTAGGAGCAACGTTCATCTCAAGAGTCGTTACCACATTTTGGGCGTAAAATTGATGTGCAAATATAAAAACTGGTATTGCACGACGAAAATTAATAAAAATGCATAGAGTATTATTTTTTTATCGCTGCGTTTTGGGTGTGCCAATTCAATATCGGATACCGTTTCTCGAAAGTCGTATCGCGATCGAAAGACGACCCTTTCCGGTCCATCGATCCTCTCCAATCGAATCGCGGGAGCCGCGTATGCCGAGAGTCGTAAATTTCCATCGTTTAAGGTCACGGGTGTCGAATATGCTTTGAAATTTGCATCGTTCGTGGATGTGACCGACGGGTGAAGGCCGTCGATGGTTTACTATCCGGTGTCCGCACGGTTTCGCGGCTTCATAAGGAAAAGGCGGAGGTAGCTGGCTTTCTCCAAAGCCACTTAACCCGGTCCAGTAACATCCATCCATGAGCCGTCACGCCTGTGACATTTTCGACATTTTCTCGCGGAGGCTGGCCGCGGAATATCTCTTCCCGCGATTACGTTTTCGCCGGCGCGTCGCGGAATGCAAAACGTCGTACGCGAGGACGTAATTTTACTATCAACTTCCACCGGCCGGAGGATGCATAAACTCCGCGGGAGAAATTACGAACGATTATTGTTCCCGGTGATCGCAGCACGCCTATATTCTATGCGGTTTGTAACAGTTACATTCTATTACCGTTCTTATTAGAGGTTACACGATACGAGAGAGGCCGGACATTCTTAAATTACTCGGCTTTCCGTGAAATTAAAATAAATTGCCTCGCCGTGGCAACGACGCACCGCGTGTGAAACAACGATAAGCAAATCTATTCGCGACCCGAAGATAATGGAACGAAATAATTTAAACCGTGCATTTCTCGTCGGGTCTGGGTCGTTCCTCGAAGCGACGAGAAACGGTTCGAACCGTTTGCAATGTAATCAATATTAACGCTTTACCGACGGAAGATACGCTGGTCGCTGAATTGGTCAGTAATTTACTGCTTTTGCGATTACTTTTTGTAGTCGATGTGTTTATTCGATAATTAAAAACTATAGCTTGTCGAAGAAGCGTTGCCACACCCTCTCTACTGTTAATAACAAGGGGTAACGCGTGCCAGTAATCGGTTAAGGAAAAGCGAAATGTTCTATGCTGCAAAACATGAATTAAAACAATCGTTTTTATCGTCGATCTTTTTTCTGACATTTGTGTGATATCTCGTTTCTACGTCAAAGCGGTAAACAATAAGTAGAATTATTTTTCCGGAGGAAATATTGATATTTATATTAACTACATTACGCTTACTATCGACAGATGACACTTATTCAGACTTTTCAGAAATAAAATGTGTGGAACGCAAGTTTCGGTGGATGTTAAAAATAAAAAAAAAGGACGTCGGAACCAATTGAAAATCTTAACAGTTTTATTCGAGCGCTCCGATGAAAGAAGCGTCTCTTGAAATGGATCCCGGTAGCGTCTCTCGTTCTCTTTACGCTCGACGAATGCTCCGAAGTCACGGATGTGATGCAAACGCTCGAAGAGCACTCGCTTTTCCAGTTGCTCTGAATCGCGTCGAGCGTTATTTACCCGCTCGACGGCCAGTGCGGGATCCGTGCGTGGAATTTCCCCGTTTACCGCGGCATCGCTAGAAATTTAAATTTGACACAATACGAACGCGACGAAAGAAAGAGTAGCGCGACCGCGATTTAGAAATCACACCCGGTCTTACCGACCACTCAAAATTTACGTACCAACGAAACGTCGTGAAAGGAGAGAGAGTCACATTCACGGCGACAGATCGGCACAATTGGGCGCGACTATCTGCTCGACCCGTTCAACGAAATCTAAAAACCGCGATACTATCTAGGCCAGACTGGTCTTTCCGTGAGAAAACGAGCGTCAATCATTTCGTCTTTCTTTTCTTTCTTCCTTCGTGATCGTTTACAAGCATGTGCTGACAACTTCGCTGCCGCGTCGCAGAAAGCAGGAGGATCGATTATTTTCTTTATTAACTTCGGTTTTGATTTTGCACGAATTCCCGCGTTGCTCGTGTACTGATAATAAGACGAACGCCAATGAGTTTCATCTTACTACGGCCGTGTTTCTCTTGATCCTTGAAGACTTTCGTTGTGTACTTTTAGAGAAAACGTTCGATTCTGAATACGTGTAATGATAAAAGAAAATCGAACGAAAAATGCTGACGATACACGCGAATAAGATGTGGCAACAGTAAGTTGCACAGAGTAAAAAAATGTAGACACGCCTACTATTCTTGATGTATTAATACGAATTACATATATCGTTTATCTAGAAATTCCATAAAAAAAATAAGGAACAGAAATGATTAAATAATTCTGACAGAACTACGAAATACTTGTGTAATCGATGTCAGATCGGTTACAGGCTACAATTAATGTTAACACCTATTCCGTATTTAATAATTCAAGCAACTGTGTGTTTACTAAATAAATCTACCAATCAATTTTGACACAACGCGGTAATTAAATATAAAAATCAAAGGTGCGTTCATAATAATGCGTTTTACAATGTTTGAACTTTGAATCTACTTTCTTCTTTTATTCGAGTTTAAACTCATCGCTGCAAACGCAAACATTTTTATGGATAAAAGAGAGAATAACGATGACGACGACGAATGAATATTTATCGGAGGGGAAAGAATTGTTATAGAATGCAGAAATACAGGAAAAGAAAGTACGAAATTTAAATGTACGATGAACTAGCATAAATAGAAACGATTGGAAACAAGCGAAAAGAATGGTGTCAAAGTAGTAAGAGGGATTTGTATTATGTAAAGATCGTAAATTGCTAACAAATCGAATTAGTTGTGGCTAAGTCATTGAGCCAGTGCTATTGTTAAGAAATTAAAGCTGCACATATTAAATGTACAGATATAAAAACATCGAAAATAGATTACATTTACACCGATTTTGTTTGAGTGGCCCGCATATAGAAAATGCGTGGGTCAGCTTTCGCTCTCATGACCTCAATTATCCATGTTTAATTTTAACTTTTACCTACCTTAGTAGTGCACGGTAACGACTGCATTTACTTTTATTAGGTTTTAAACTAATATTTAAACTTTCATAGCTTCATTATTTTTTATTATGTAGTTAGCTAAGACCGTGAAAGAAAATGTATTAAAAGTACTTTTGCAAACCAGATCGTTTTGTTACTTATCGTAGTTACGTCACATGATTACTAGTATTTTACTGGAAAGTATTTAAATCTTAAAGGGGACAAAACTTTCATCGAACACTTCAGATCGAAATGTATCGTTCCTTCAGAGGCCTATGCATTCGCGAAGTAAACGGAGAAGTCTGTAACGGGCCAAGCAATCGAAGTTAGGGTTGAATTCGAGGAAATTGAGGTGTCACATCCAAGATGCCTTCCATTTATACAAACGGTACGAACAGTTTGACGTCCGTCTGAATTCCAATTAGAAGTGGATCGCGCTCGTTCGACGTTCCTGTTTTACGACTCCGGTACGGATAGAATCATGTTGTTTCACGCGCATCTTGCAGCAATAACGAAGTCTATAGAATGGAGTTTTCGAATTTTATTGAGATTTTTAACACTCGATATTCCACACGAACGATAGAAAGTTTTAAGAAATCGCCTCGTCCCCGAGAACAAATTTATACAAATCGAACGGTATAAAAACGCTAATAAAGTCTAGCGAACCATATAATTACACGCTAGACATAAGAAACGTATCAATCGCGATGCAGGTGTTCGATCTGAAAGTAGAAACAATTTATCATTGTCTACGATGAAATTTCTATGGTCAAATAGTTTTCCATAAATGCACTCGTAATTTATATAGTTACAGGTTTCATATTTGACATTAAGAATTTACTCATTCTATTCCGACGGAGAACGCCGATTTTAATTTACCAGATACTTTCAATTTCGGTTTTTTAAAAAAAAGTTGCTCATTAAACTGTGATGAACAACTGCACTCGGTCTATGTAATTTCTGTTGCAGTTTTGCAGTAATAAATTCGTCATTTATATCGAATATACGTATACAAACTTCATCACCGATTGTTTTGAAAACGGTCGCAAACAGAGAGTCGAAAATATCTAATAATTATATTAATATAAAATGATTTGTTACGATTACAGATTCTAATGTGATTATTGTAGCTTGCCGTGAAATTTTCCGATCGAGTTTCCCCGGTTCGTTAAATGTTTCGCGTCGTTCGTGCGACAATCGTGTAAAACCTGGCCGGGCACGGTGATCCTGTTACTTTGGGATTTTGTCGATGTTCCATTAGCCATTTAGCCACAGGTGAACGCGTGGGCGTTTCCAGTGGGCGACGATCGAACTCATGGTTGGGAATGGATCGTAAATAACAACACCCACGTTGTCGGCTGCTGGACACGAACGGTTCTGGTTAGACGATTCGCGTTAGGTAAACAGGATAATCAGAGAGCTTTATTTTGACGAGGGACGTCGTTCCTGCTCTTTAATGCTCGATTGGTAAATACAGAGACATTGAGGGGTAGATGTGTGAAGGGCAGTGAAACAGTAAAAAATATCAGAGTGTAATTAGAGTACAGCACGCACCACCAATCGATCGAGTACATATTTACAAGCTCGGGGATTTCGTATTTTTGCAGCCCCGACTGCAACACGTACGTTAATAAATTATTTATTCGCGTATACACGTCCGCCTATCTATACGAGTTTACATGATAATGTATCTATGTATACACACATACGTATATACACGTATAATATACATATGCATGAATTTTTCGTATAAATTAAATTAAATAAGATTTAAGCAATTTCTTGTACGTAACAGAACGTAACACCGGTTCTGTAAATTGTTGTATTTCGCCGCGAGTTCTCGTTAAATTTCGTATGCACACGATTTATGCCACTGTTCGCGCCCAACTCGTGTCAGAATGCTCGATTGCGCGTAACGAGTTGGCAAAGTGCACCAGCACGCTTTTGCCCTGTTTACTGTCGGCGTATTCCTGCTCGAGATTGGCTTGGTACAGTCGGAACGATCGCGAAAAACAAGTTTCACGGAAATTACCGCAAGCAGCACCGAGTTTCGAGTAATGTTCCGTTGCGCTGAGATCACTCAAACCCCGTTTTTACCAGATTTTTATGCGTTGATTCGCCAGACTTATTGTTTTCTTTGATGATCAAACGTCAACGTTCACTCGTATTCTGTATTTATTCGTACTGTCGGTTATTAAATAGTTTCTTAATTTTCTTCGAACACCGAATATACTATTTTCTATTCGATATCTTCATCCTAAGTCGTACGTATATGGCGTTAGCGTGATCAGAAACGAAACAAGAACACAACCACAATAACGGTCTTTAACACGTTGACTGCCATGACGGTCATTGGTGACCAGCGCTTTAAACTCACAGCGCATTGCAATGCTGTTTACGATGGAAGAATCCTAATACTTGTAAAATTGTAAGTAACGCTACTTTTATTAGGGATGCTGTGAAATAACAGCTACCACTATTTAATTATCGAATATTACTACGTTTCACATGAAAAACTGGCAGTCAACGCGTTAGCGGTTGTCGGGACGGAAGATGTGAGAATAGAATTGCAAGAGACCGGAAATCGTCAAGTTATCGTCGACTTTTTGGAGTTGACGATTCCGTCTCGTCGAACATCCTCTCGCGATTTTCTAATTTCTATCTAATTTCTGGAATAAGATATTTTTCTCCTCGAATCAAAAACTATTCTCGATAGAAAAGAGATCTACAGGGGATCGATTACCATCAATCGATACTCTTTACTAAGCTCGCGATGCGAGTCGAGTTGGTACAGGCGTGTTGTTAATACACGTAATCGGAGTATTGAACTAGTAGCACCGTTGGTGCATCGCTGCCGTTTAACGTTCGTGATAACATCACTTTTTCGCATTGCAGAACACTAGTCTATCGACCTCTTTATTCGGTCGCAACGAGGTCGTGGCACGAGCAGAAGGTGGCGATAGTAACCCGTCGCCGTTTGAAAGTGTGTGTGCGACACACACGTAAACGATAACCCACCTGTACGAAAAGCACAAAATTCGTCGCACGGCGTACTAACGATGTCGTCAAATGTATCGTGTATCGTGTAATTCACGCGCGATACGCAATAAATGAACTCTATCGGATGTAGCGCGGAATTTCATAGAAAGTATTGCACGCGTACAGAATTCATCTGCTGTTTCGTTTGCGCTTGTAATTTTGCCACGTCTGCCTCCGTGTACGTTCGAGTCGCGTTCCTTCGCGCGGTTTTCACTAGATCGTCGTTCCAAATTAATGCGATCCGTTGGGTTAGAATTGCAAGATTTGGTTGATCCATTCACGGAACTCGGAGATTCGAGTGTACACGCCTGGTTGGTTCGGTACAGCGCAACCGATTCCCCAGCTGATCACTCCGGCAAGGATCCATCTTTTATCCCGCGCCCTCTGGATCACCATCGGTCCTCCACTGTCGCCCTACGGGAAAACAGCGAATTTAATCAATCTGCTAGCTAAAAACAATTTTTATACACAAAGACAGGAAAAATGAATCGATCCGCGAACGTGTTAAATGTGATTTCCACAGATTCGAATATACTTATCGAAAAGAGACAAGGTTCTTTGCGTTTCGTCTCACGGTCAAGCACAGAAAGAGATAAAAACCGAAAAGATTAAGAGTCAAACTTAGTCTTTACATTGTGTAATACGATTCGGTGAACACTGTCGAATGAAATGTTTAAAAATGGAACAGTTATATTAAAAATTGGAAAATTATTTTATGTCATTAGCAATATGCATTTATGATAATTTGTTGTAGTAGCTGTAGCAGAGTATTTCATAAAATTGTATCCATGGTATACACGTTATATTTGTTCATGGTCATTATAATTTATACTAAGATTCTTAGTACTTTTATCCCAGTGGGCGTCGGTCTAGACATTCTTTTACAAGGGAAACGATTGTTATCGTAAAAGGTATTTCGACTGCAAAGTTCGAAAACTTGTAAGTGGAACCTTTGAAGTCTCTTATCGATCGATCACTTTGTTATTTTAAAGGTACATTCATTTGAAGGTCTAGATAAGAAAAATATGCGTGAAAATATTTTACAGATAATGAGTGTTCTTTTTTTTTGAGAGTACATTTGACCTACGAGCGCAGGAATAGACAAAATTCTTATTTAGATACGAATATTTAATGACTAAACATAAAGAAATTGAATTCTCTCGATCAAAAAATGAATCTCGCCTCGGTTTGAATTTCAAGGCCTGTGACTATGGTCAATCCTATCCATCGAAAGCTGTAGATTTGTATATCCTGTGTACAAAATTCACGCGTACCTCGCAAGAGTCGAATCCACCGTTTTTCCAACCGGCGCAAATGAAAATGTGCGGAATGTGCTCGATGTATCCCGCGTTTCTGTACATGCCCTCGCACATTGTATTATTGATGACCGGTACAGCAACCTCCTGAAGCGTGGATGGCAACGGTCCCTCTGTAAATTAAATCACGATCAGCATGCGTTCTCGGTCAGGCTAACTCAGAGGAGCAAACGAGCTGTCTGTACCGTCGTAAAGTCGACCCCAGCCGGTGACATAAGCTGTTCGGCCGACGTAAGATTCGTCGTCGTCCGGTAGGCAAATGGGCAGAACGTTCGGTTGGAAAGGCAACAGGGGCTCGTAGAATCTTAACAGAGCAAGATCGTATTCGAACGTTCTAGGATCGAACTGTGGATGACTAGCTACGATTTGGATTCTTCTCTCTTGGTAACCGTACGGCTCGTCTTCGTTTGCCAAGTCGTGTTCGCCGATTCTCAGTAACAGGTCGCTCGGCGGTACACTGTGAATTGTTGGAACATTAAAACCCATACAATGCAATAAATAGTAACTTGAATCTTCGCATCGTTGACGATGATAATCGATGTTTCGAACAATAAAGATAGCCATAGGAAAGATCATTCGAACAAGCAGCAGAAACTATTCATTATATTGCACATTTTTGTGGTAACATCAAAGAGAATACTAAACAAAATTATTAAAATAATTTGACCAATTTTAAAACGATTTGTAATTGTGACATGATTGACATCCCATCCGGTCATTTGGTGACGAAGTATGAAAATGTCTGTTGAACTTCGAAGTGTGAGCGCAATAAGGGAGCAACGTCGAGTTCGTAAAGTACCCGAATGTACAAAATCGGAGTGTAGGAACTTTTAACGAGGCTCGGAGATGTGAGAAAACCGATACACATTCTCGGTACGACGGCGAGAAAAGTAGAAACATGTATTACAAGTTACGCGTATCAGGTTTTAATTGAAACGTTCTTGGAATTGATAAATTGTAAAGGAAGTAAAGATAAGAAATTGGATTGTCGTGTATTGGGAAGGAGTATCGATTGAGATTCATCACGATGATAAACACGATACCCACTTTTCCACGCAGTGCGCTGCGGTTATGGCCCAATTTTCGTTGAGCAAAGCTGCGCCACACTTGTGCAGATACGTCGACGTTCTCCATTGTCGTAATGAGATCTGAAAGGAAAACATTCATCTCCTTTAACGAAGAACTATGCTCGGTCGTGCTTACCGATTGGCGTGTCGATTATGGAGCCTTGAGGCACGATTGAAAATCCAAGAATAGAACGTAGAACGTTCCTTTTATTAGGTTATTGCATATGAAATCATTTTCTAGATACCATGGGCGAAAAGTTTAAACTCCTCTAACCTCGTTATAGCACCGTTTAGACGTGCCATTAAACATATTAAATTCCTCACAGAATTTATTAATATTTTACACCATCGGTCTTTCAGAATCTCTCGAAGGGTTCTTTCGACTTAATATGACGTTTACTTATCCGTTTCTCCAATTCCACGTGCTCGATGGAACCTTATTCTGGTGATTGCGTGAGCGCAGGTCACGTGTAGGGTGTATTACATAAAATCTATTGACGTACTACATGGCAAGTGCGTTTCGAATTCAGATCCCGCTGGAAGTAAAGTGTATTTTCGATTTCTAGTTCGTTTTTTACATGTGTCCTTTATTAAATAGCGAAAAACGATTGTATCGGAAATATTATTATTTTCTCGGTATCCCCTAAATGCAGTTTCTTAACCTGTCGTCGAATAAAAGGATCGTTCTCGTTTCAACGGTCACGCGAGGCTGAAAAATTATTGGGAAATTGGTTCGGGCTGTACTCACCTGCCAGGGCCATTTTCCGAACGAGCTGCGACTGCCGCCGACGATTCGAGACTCCGGGAACAATCTTCTTCCGCACACTGCAAGAATAAGCATCGTTGAGTTAAGTCCTTTAAAAAAATTCCCGTGTCTCGCTGGGACGGCCATGTTGGAGAACGAGCCTTCCACGTTCGTCGAACCGGATGAACCGGTATCGTCGCGAGCGCGCCATCCGAACGTTCTCTTCTTTACAACGCGGCTCTAATTAATTTTTCGCCCGACTTGTGCATACGATTCCCGTTTTCGTTCGGTGACTCGACACGTCGCCAACGTTTCTCGACGCTCGTTACCACGACAGACTCGTAGATGCAAAATAATTAACGATTCGACGACGTTTTTCTCTTAGATAATTTCCATTCGTTCTCTCTTACATAACCGCGCTCGACTGCTTATTTTTATCTTCCATTCGTAATCGTATAATTCATCGAGATTTCTCAAGTCACGCTGAATAACTTCCAGATTTCTGTATTATCGATAATAGATTCCCGTTTTGTTTCAACATTCGATTAAAAAGATTCGCGTCTCGTATCGATTAAGACTCGTTGCTATACAAGTAAAATTAAACAATTTTGTGTTATACGGTCACCTTGCTTATAATCGGACATGTTCAGTGTTTCCATTGGAACCGGAAGTTCTGTGTCTATCGTTACGCTAGCGATCGATGACAGAGTTGTGAATATAGTGGGCCTCTTCGTGACGTACTCAGTGACCGTCTCTGTTGCAGGTTTTGCTAAAAAAGACATAAATTCATCGTAAATTGAAAAGAAAATAGCCGAAAAGCATTTATACAAATTTATCTCTGTCCTTGTTGTTTAATTCTTAAGAAATGAAAAAGATAGCGAAAAAGTTTTATTTATTCGTTACTCGTGAATTGAATTATTTCCACACAATTTATCTGTATCTTTGTTATTTAATTCTTAAGAAATAACAAAGATAGTGATAGTGAATCAAAACTCGTTATTCTAAACGTTTGCCCAGCACTGCTTTAGAGCCAATACATAAGACAATCAAGTTCATGTAACGAAAATATTTACAAAAGTATGCTGAAATGGAGGTTACTGTCGTACCGGAAGTCGAAGGTTGCAAGGTAGACACAGGAATCGGTTTAACCGTCGTTTCTTCAGAAATCTGAGGCGGCGTTTTAGTAGTAAGGGATTGAATCATGATCCAACCGTCCGGAGTGGTGAGAGGCGTCCAATCGCTTTCAGTTTGATCTGGAAGACATTGAAAACGTATTATCGATGTACGAATAAAATTATACTGAAATCGAAAACGAAATTCTCGATCGAGCATTTCGACCAAGATATACGAACGGGTCGAATATCGTCAAGAGAGAGAAATGTTTTAAATATGTCTGCCATCTCACTTTCAGCCCCAAACTGGAACTTGTTATCGTTTCTTTCGCTTTTAGGTTGGGACGATGTTGAATTTAATCTTATTCTAACGAAACTGTATAGTACGATCTATTTTAACGTAAGTAGTATGTTGCATGAAAAAAGACCATTTTGTTAAATAGAGATTCACATCGATAAAATTGCAGCAATTTAAATATTTATTTGTGGATTCGGTCGTTCGCGTGCAGCAGCCTAATACATCCAAGTGCTACTAATTCAAAATAAAATATTTATGCATCCAAATATACTCGGACAGGATCGTTACGTGTTTGAATCGCGTATTTCCGACGAAAAGTTTTTGTGATCGAGCCGAACGACATTGCTCTAGAATTAATTTTATCTAGCAATAGAAACAATAGGTCGTAGGCCGTGAAAGCTAACAAGAAGGCGAGAATTTCGACTCGGGGCACAATCACCAATCAGTTTGCGATTCATGAGCGCGTTGGATCGGAACAAAATAAAAAAAAGGAAACGTGTGCATATACGTATACGTGTATGTATACAGAAAGTTGGAAGGTTGTTTTCGACGATAACTGGAGCGAAGTGCAGTTATCGGAAAATAATTCGAGTCGTTTAAATTACAACGGGAAAGACGAGGAGAGGGAAGAGTGAATGTTGTCCGTGAAGCATTCGAGAGGAAAGATTACGGTGGACGGTTTAAACCGTTACAGCGTTCCGCGCGTAACAGAATTTCATCATCTATCGATACGCGGGGCAACGCGACCTTTGGTTCTTTAATTGGGAACGCCCGTTTTGGAACTCGATTAACGCCGGCCTACAGAAATTCTATCTCGCGTTTCTGTCGCACGTGCGTCTCGAACGCAATTATTCCGCGTAAGGACAGGTGGACGCGTTTGCCCGGTGACGTTCGTTCGCGATCGATGTGCATTAATCGACGGGGCGTATACGTGCATCGCGATCCGTGCGTCGTACGCGGAAATTGCGAACGCAACATTGAGAATAACGCGGGGCTTGATTGTCCTTTTGTCATCAACGTCCCAGCAATCCATTTTGAGATTAAATGCTCTTTATGGCGACCAGCCTGTCGCGAGTAATTAAGATGTTCGGTATCGAGACCGTCGGACGATCTACAGGATCTCTCAAACTATGCGCTACATATTTGAAAACGTTTCTAACCGCGACCCAAATTGCGTAGTGCAGTTCCTCGCGGCCCACCGTATTTCTGATCAAAGCTGGATAATGATTTATTGAAACATTTTGTCCCCGATTTTACCCATTTTTACATTTTCCAAATAAACAGACAGTTTCTTGATTGAAATTTGACAAAAGTGTTTCTCGTATCTACAAACACGATCTTTTTCGATTAGAAAGATACGTGGAACAGGAAACAATATTCTGTATCTTTTATTTAGATTTTCCATGGAGATCGCCTCTAAGGCGGATCCTGTATTTTGGGATACTCTGTATTCTCACGCGAAGGTGCAACACTGTTATTTTCTAATCTCGAAACGGAAGAATTCCGGCGAATTTATTAAAAGTGCAGGTGAAAGCGCGAGTAAGGTGGATCAGCGCGTAATCAATCAAATTCAATGGGAGCTTTCGCGGTTCTCTCGATGCTAGTTAATGCAGGAAGCGTGCTCCTCGACGTGAATTGCTGCCGAGATGATTTCCTATTGACGACAAAAGCGTCACGTTACACAATGGATATCCGTTTTCTTCGATTTCACCGTTCCGCGGGAACCGTTTTTGTTTGGCACGCGAGTAAGTAATGCATACTGAATCGACTGTCCCCACCCAAAATAGATACGAGTACGCGCCGATTGAACAAACGATACAGAGCGAACCAAATAATTTGATCATCTTGATTTTCGGACGTTGACGAAATCAAAAATACTTTTATCTCGAATCGATCGATAAGATAAGTATAAAGGAAACAATTGTATTCAATAAAAAGAAAGTGAAAGAATAACAAAATGAAGTGCGCTTATACGTCAACTTTTGCAGTTACAATAACGCGTTAAAGTGCTCGCGTAGGCTGGTTTATGCTATATTGGATCTCGTTTATACGATGGAAGAAACCCTCCCCGCGTCTTGAAAGGGTTAATGCTGCATTTTACGTTGATGTTGTTAAACGCTTACGAAGCAGAATACGTCCCGTCGAGTGGGACGAAAATGTAGAAAGGAAATCGGTTTATTCTCTGCCACGATAACGCATCGGCCCACACATCGTTTTTTGCTCGTTTCAACGTTACTGTCCTCCGATCAGCCATTGTACTCTCTTGATCTTGCCCTGTGTAATTTTTCCTTATTCCTAAACGTAAAAAATTTCATGCAGGGAGGGCGTTTAGGGGACGTAGACACCATAAAATAGGAAACGACGAGGGTATTGGGCAGCGTTTCAAAAGAGGACTTATAACATCGGTTTAAACAATGGAACCACTACTGATTTAAGAATCATTACTGTATCTTCTGTTACGGTTCCGCGAATCATACTTCATTCGTAAAACCTTTTAAATTAAAGCATCGTATAAACAGTCGTAGCTTTAATTTTGACTCACCCAGCTGAGTAGTCGCCGTGGAAGAAATCTCCGGTGTCTTGGTGATCGCATCGTCCGAACTCGACGTCCACGTAACGAATCCAGGCGAATGAGTCGTCGGTGAAGTCTCTTCCAGGGTTTGATTGGCGACCGGCGCCTTCGTCGATACAACGTACGTGGACGTGGTCGCGTCGGAGGAAGTCAGAGACACGAGATCAGCTTCCGTCACGGTGGTCGCGGAGACGGTCGATGGCGTCGTCGCGGTTGGTTTGCTGGTAGGTTTGCTCGACGGTTTCGTGGGCTTTGTAGCCTCCGTTGTTGGTTTGCGTTTCGTAACAGCCACGGTGGACGTCTCGATCGAGGACAGAGTTCCCGTTTTTTCGGTCGTGGCCGTGTGCTCCGGTTTGGACACCGGTTTCGCGGTAGTCGTGGCGATCCTCGTTGGTTTTGGTTTCGACACGGTCGTCGTGGACGGTTTTGGGGTCGTCGTTCTGATCGTCGTTGGCTTGATGTTCTGAACAGGTCGCGTCGTGACGGGCGTGGTGGGTTTCGAAAGGACGGAGGAAGACGTCGAGGGTTTCGACGCTGTCGAGGACGATGTGCTCTCGACGGTTGTCGCGATGTTTGGCTGGTATTTGACGGTCGTTGAAGCCGGTTTCGAAGTGGTCACGGGCAACGTGGTCCCCAGACTGGACGTTGCAGGTGGTTTCGTAGCGGTGGTGGGTCTTTTCCCATGCGTGGTTGGTTTCTTCGTGGTGCTCGGTGGTCTCTTCGTACTGGTACCAGTCGTTGGTTTCTTGGTACTGGTGATCGGTCGTCTGGTGGTAGAATGAGTAGTTGGTTTCGCGATCGTTGTGTTTCTTGGGGGAAATCTGGTCGCGGGGATGGTCCTCTGAGTGGTCGTGAACACGGTTCTGGACGTTGTTGGTTCGGTTGTTCTCTCGGTGCTCGATTGAAGGGGTTTCGACGTCGTCGTTTCCACCGGTTTGGTGACCGTAGTGTGGCTCGGTTTGTGCGTCGCTGGACGCGTCGGTTTATGAGACACGGAAGAGTGGATTGGTTTTTTAGTGATCGGTTTCGTCGTTTGGGTGAACTTTTGCGTGGTGGATGGTACTTTCGTCACGGTTTCCAACGTCGTTGGCCTTTGAGTAATCGAGGTAGTCGGTATAGGTTTATTCGTGGTGCTGGCGGTTTCCGTTATCGTGGCAGATGTTTTTTGCGACAGTTGAACAGTACTAGTGGTGATTCTCAGCGGACTTTCCGTGGTCAAATCTTCCTTCGAGACGTTCTGCACGGTTTGAAAGGTCGATAACCGAACCGGTTGCGTGGACGTTTCGACGGTCGTGAGTATTGGCTTCTTCGTCGCGAGTTTCGTCGTTTCCCTTATCGTGGTCGGAGGTGTATGAGTGTTTTGCGTAACATAAGCGGTGCTCGTTTCCTAAAGATTAACAGGAAAAAAGAGAAACGATTATTCTCAGAGGAAAATTGCATTCGTTTGCTGTAGAGCCTGATCAAACGTTCTCAGAGAGCAAATATTACTTAACAAGGTCCTCGATTCATAAGAAACAAGTTTCTTTTCGTTCATAGCGAATCGCCATATAGTGTACAAGTACAAGTGAGGTAGTACATGTTTATCGATAAATAAAAAATAATATTGAACGAATTTAGCGCCAAAAGATAAAATATAATCAGAACATACGCGCGCGTGTAAGAGACGAAGATGCCACTCTAAGAGTATTGTTGCAAAACCTAATTTCGTTGTACTTGTACAATTGACCTATAAAAACGGATCGACGATGTTTATTTCCAAAAAATTGTTACCGAACAATTTAAGAGGGTCAAGTGTATGCGTCAATGTTAGTTTTCGTTTGAAGAATGCGTCGAGTCCGAAGTCGTATTGTTCTATTTAGGAGGTATGCAACTTCCTCTACCGACTTTCTCATCTAACGGTGAATCGAATCCGAGAACCGAGCTAAACCTCGATAAATACGAAATTGCGGTCCACTTGCCTCGGTGGAGTGCGTCCCAGGCGGTTTCTTCTCGCTGATCGGCTTCGGCCTTGAGAAGTACTCGGGTATGTCGTTGCTCTCGATGGGCCCGCCGGTCGTGACGAACGGCCTTGCCGGCGACCCGTCGTCGATACTGTTGTCTTGCGGAAAAATGTCCGGCTCGTCGTCGATCTTGCAACAGCTACCGAAGTAGAAACGATCGATGCAGGTGCCGAGGTGCGTGCCGTTCGCCTTCGCGCATGTGAACGCGAACATGCAAACGCCGGTTTCGCCAGTTCTGCGTGACACGCACGGCAAGTTCCTAATGTTCCTTCCCATACCTGCGAAGAGAACAGAGACTGTGTGAAATCGCGGGAGAATAATTCCGTGACAAACCGATTCTTTGGTAGTCAACGTCGTTTTCCATCGTTACGCTCCTACGACAAAGACGGAAAGGGAACATCGAGAGATTATCCTTGGACGTGGATGGAATTCTACGATCGGAATTTTTCGAAAAAAATTGCTCCAATATTGAGCCAAGAATATGTATTTCATGATTATTCGATTTTATGGACCAAGAGAGGAATACATCTCTCGGGGTGCTTTAAATAACGATACTACAAGCGTAATATTTGTTTAAATATATTCCAAGTGCATTTGTAACGGTAACGATACAATTGCATATACAGGGTGTTCGGGCACCTCTGGTGCGTACGATTGTCGACCTTTGTATCGCTTTATATCCTAGGAATGGTTCATCGGGAAATGAAGAAAACTGGTACAGTAGTGTCCGGATTATTCGGCACTCGGTTATCCGAATAATTATAATAGAAGGTGCCTAAATTTTTCGGCGAAAAAAAAGATTTCATATCGTTCTAAAAAAATTATTTTTAGTTGCGGGGGTCAGTTACAATCAATTTTGATGAATAGACATACCCCCGAAATCCTACTCAGTTTCGAGAAAAAAATTCGTGTAGGTGGTGAAATTTTCCGAAGAAATTAAAAAGTTTCTAATCGTTCTAAAAAAATTATTTTTAGTTGCGGGGCTTGATTACAATCAATTTTGGTGAGTGGACATATCCCCAAAATCCTACTCAGTTTCGAGAAAAAAATTCGTGTAGGTGGTGAAATTTTCCGAAGAAATTAAAAAGTTTCTAATCGTTCTAAAAAAATTATTTTTAGTTGCGGGGCTTGATTACAATCAATTTCGGTGAGTAGACATATCCCCGAAATCCTACTCAGTTTCGAGAAAAAAAATTCCTTACCGCAAATATAATGTGTGACCAGAGATCTGTGATTATACATATGTGTGTTAAATTTCATAAAGATGGATTCTTTAATACCGAATCTTTCTCTGTCCAACCGGTTAAGGGTAGTTTAAACCCCCACGTTGTGCTTCGAAATTCTTTAAATCACGATTCTTGTTTCAACGAAAAGTCAAAGTACACTTCGTACAATATTGAAAATTATTTGGAATTGTTTTCACGATTGGTACGTCTCATACGAAATCAAAGTGTTTTGTTCCTTTTCATAGATTCTTCCCTTACTTTCTAAAGACGTCTTCGACGATGATCGTCTAAACAAGATCTGTATCTGAAAGACGCGACAATCGAAAGGATCAAACCTGTCCGTCTTCCGCGATCTCACTACATTATCTTGGTGATGTGTACTTCGATTCGGTATCGTCATCGTTTGTTAACTCCACTTAATCAGCTTCCTGTGTGCATAATGGAAGATATCGGGCGCAGCGGGATCGATTAATAATCGCGTCGAAAGAAGCCGCGAATCTCGCTGCCGGGGCACGTAGATCGCTTCTGCTTTCTGATTATGTCAGTCATGGAGATAATGATAGGCAGCGGTGAGGTGTAATTAGTTCGATGGAATTCGAATATCTGTTAACGGAGGAAGCGTTTATCGCGGACAAAAGCGTAAGAACGTCAAAGACGGCTAACGGAACGACGGAAGCCTGCTTGGGCAATGATTCATGCGCCCCTCTGGTACAGTTATGAGTTTCCACGGAAAATAAGATACGAGAAATAAGGCACGCGCATAGAGGGGGAATCGTGTCTTCGAGTTTCATCTAAATTTCAAACGCTCGCTCGATAAACCCCGGACTCGCGATAGTCGTGTCTAAGCGACACGTGGATTCGGACTAACATAAGCCGTTTCAATATTATTTAGTTCAGAGTTAATTGATATAGCTGTTCTTTCGACTCGTCGACATTTTTCTTTTCATGTGACTTTTAAATATTCTCGTTTTACTAGTATTGACTTCTGGTATCGTTCTGCGCGAAAACAGCATTTGAGTATAACGTTTAAAGAATATTTCGCGAGACGTATCACATTTTATGTTATTATTTAATACTCTACCGCGAGAAAAGAAACGAACGAATTCTAAGAATCTCTATTTTTGTTTATAGATTCAATAATTAAAAGAGTGCAATATGAGAGTTCTTATATTCGCCTCAATTATTGTCGCCTGGACAAAAATCGAATTCTAGCATTCGATGAACAATATTTGACTGTACTTTTCTGTAGTTTATAAAACATTACATATGATACGAACAAAACAGAGTTTGTGAATTATAAGTAATATCGGCATAAATATTTATTGAACGAGAAATCGAATTGTAAGTAAATGCACGTTCGATTTTTGTTTTTGGAATAACCGAAAATTCCAATATCCATAATCTAGGCCAGTTTAATTCTGCATTTAACACATTGACTGCCCGCTGACCCACATGTGGGTCAGGGCGTTGCGTACTCAGGAGTCCGTTGAATACAGAAATATCGTCTGTAAATAATCCGAAAGATGTTTTAAAGCTGAACAATTTTGAATGAAAGGCTCTCGTTTGGCCCCATTAATCTTCGTAGTTACTATAAATTATCTTGTTGACAATTTAGACAGCGTTAAATACTTTATACCCATTATCTTAGTATTTTTCAAAGTTGTTTAAGTCTGATTCTACTTGTTAGAGATGTTAACAGTTCGATAGAAAGAGTCCAAGAGTCCATTCCTTATTTGTGCCACCCATTTTATCAGCTATCTGATGGCTTTTTAATTAATTCGTGCAAACTATAAGATACTTCGTTCATTATTATTCCCAGAGTATCAGTGAATTTCCTATTTATTATCGAACATAGGTTAAATCATATAGTCCATCAGGGCGTTATCGAAGAACGAATTGATGTCAGGCGAGGCGAAGCATCTGGGTACCGTTAAGTTTCGATGTATGAGCTAGTTGCCCGACCCAAAAGTGGGACACAGTCATAGCCTAATGTAACAGACCGTTTCCCTCTAAGACATCGCACGATCTCCACTACTTCTTCTTCGTCCTTTCTCGCGTTGGCCGGCTAACGAAACCATCGCTACGCATTCTAAAGTTCTTCGACACGATTAAATCGACATACGTGTGTCGAGCTACATCGCCAGAGATAAGGCACACCTGTGTCTCGGCGGTAGTCGCATACGGGAAACGCGTCAATGATTGCACACGTATCGTCAAAAAGCCTTGACGAAAACAAGCAAACACATCTGTTCGTTTTAAATGCCGCCTCTAGAACGTCGGGTCAAAGGTGACGTTACGGGCACGCGGACGACCGAATTCCAAGTAAAATTAATTTCACGCTCGAAATTTATGATGCACTTTTTCAAACAGATGTAAAAATGTCAGTTAACCGTGTGCAGTGTACGATCATTTTCACATTGAGTTTCACTGGCTCCAAATTATCAGGTAGCTTCGTAAGACTTATTGTGTATGTAAAAAATATCAATCGTGTAATAAGTCGTATGTTATTATACATTAACGGATTTATGTATATAGCATAAAGTATTCGTAGACTACGTTCATTGATCGACATCTGGATCCATTAAATTGGTTGTGGCAGTTCCGCACGATCGATCCACTCAAACTTTTAATGAAATTGTGTACCTGCCCCTATTTGTATGTTTAACGTAGGCATGTAAAACTCGCGGGTCGTGGACTTCATAGGGTTCGATAAATTCGATTTCGTGGCCCACATAACTCATTTACTATTTTGTTAGAGCGCTTGTTTTTTATACTACGCTAATAACGTCGGATCATTTCGTTAACGCAACATTTCAATTATCTCTCTGCAGTGAATATTTTTAAATTTCAAATTAATAATAGGCTCTAAAATATTTAGGTAATCGTTGGAAATAAAAGTAGACTAGGGAGAAATCGTTTAAAACGTTAGGATCGAAAACGCGCTGGCTAAAACGAGTTTCACGCGTTCGGTTCAACGTATCGAGCACCAAAGATATGTACGTGTCTGCAAATACATTATTATCATTAATATCGTTCCACTTGCTCCGTGCTCGCGAAACCCGCGACGTCAAGTAGCAATTAAGGCGAATAATACGGAAAATTGATCGAGTTTCTTCGAACGAGTTTCCTCTCCCCGCGACATTTCTACGGTCCCAACCATTCTCGCGTAAACGGAAATCGAATTAACAACGAATTGCCTGGCGTAATTAGCTAAACATGGAACAAAGTCTCTTGGAATATCGAAAAGTTACATCGACACCGGTGGCAAAACGGTAACGCGCTCTTCACCCGGGATATTTACTTTCTTCTTGGCTCCGATGGAGGTTGATGGCCGTGGCGAGTGAAAATCGACCGTGAAATTCTACAGAAAACCACGGACGCCCTTTGGTTTCGGGTCACTCGGCCAAATCCTTCGACCAAAACGTTTCTACGTGCTTACGTCGTCCTTCCGCGTGGCGAATGTGTGTTAGCGGAAGCGGTCGTATGCGTCATAGCCGTGAAAGAAAGTTGCCGATGGCATTACGCACTTGTCGGAATTTCTGTCGTGGCCATGTCGAGAGCGCGCGCACGCCTACGCGAGAATCGTCGCACGAAAGGATTTCACTCGCGATAAGAAAGTATTCCTGCGAGCGACGCGGCAATGTCACGGCGCGAAAAGCTTCGAAATAAACTTAAAACAATGCTGCCTTCCGTACCGTGCAATTTTCGCGTAGTGGGATTGCAAAAGAAAAGCGAGAATTGTTTCGCGCATACTTGCGCGGGAAACGTTCGTCCCCTTTCGATTTTAACCTACTTTTGTAAGATGGGGGGTTCCAGGTTTCTTTTACTGGAAGTAAAATATTATAACAATGATACTAGTACCTCGTTATAGAATATCGAGAGATTAGAATTGTCTAAAGTGAACAAAATTGTAAACAAAAGTATACGGTGAGAAAATACGAGCTGTATCGCTGTTGTTAATTAATATTCATAGTGCAAGCGGCTCTTAACGTGCGAGACCCACTTTCAGCGGTCGATTAAAGTGGCAAAAAGAACGAGAGAAATTTATGTAGATATATGCTCTGTTTGATTTTATTTGCGAATTGTAGCTAGTTTTCGCGAGCATTTCGACGGTAGCGATGGGCTCTGAATAAACGAATGTTTTTAAGTGCTTCTAGGAATAAAATTCCGAGGGGCTTTAAATCTGAAGAAGGTAGGTGGATGGGTCTTGCAGGACCTATCCGTTAGGAGTCTGGCTACTCGGTTTGGACGAAATGTAGCATCATGCATAAGTCACTCACGTTTTGCAAGAGGTTTACACGAGATTCGCCTGTTAATCTTCCATTAAGGAAAACAAAGAATTATGTAACTTTTCACGTAGTCTAGTAGAATCTTGGGACAAAAGTCAGATAGAGCAAATGTCTATAGAAACATTCGTCATTCGTTTTATACACCTAATCCATCACCGAAGTGGGTTCCTCATGTTAGGATGCACTCTGGATATTGCAAGATGTACTTCCTTTACTTGCAATTTGTAAAATTATCGAGTTACTATGCCTAATATCTTACGCGTAACACCGGGGACCTGTGTTCTATCATTCTGTAAAAGTATTAGGTTGGCCAATAAGCACCTATGTCGAATTTTCAAAGCAGACGACGTTTCTTGTTCCTTGTATGGAAAGAAATGAAATACATACATATTCTGGAAGCTGACACTTAATTCATCGAAGACATTCGACAAATATCATTATATATAATATATTAGTTTATTTAAAAATTCGAAGGTTTCGATTTCTACCAAACAACAATGATAATACTAAATACGGGAACTCGTAAAAATGAAGTATCTGCAAATAACTGGGAATACGAAATAACGAAGTTCAGAACTTTTTTCTCGGATCAAAATAAATCCAGTGTCTGTTGGTCGTCAAGACTGTTAATTTGCATCGTGTCGCTATCGTTTGATAATGCCGTGTCGTGGAATTTTTTAAAAGGGCGATCATAATTTCAGCTAATTTCCCTCCGACGACCGCCGTTCGAACGGAGCGATAGGAATACTGATGGGAACGAAGATGACGGGGTCGGAAAAATCAGTGTAAGTCGTGTGAGCGCCGATGACCGAGGCTGACCCACTTCTGTAGGAAACTGACCAGTCCGCCCACGTTCCGTTCGAGCTTGGATCCAAGGTAGGTTCAATGTCGTCCTGTGTCGCAGACAGGTAAGCACACGTACGCACACGCGTCCACAGCGTGTACATTCGCACGCTCGAGGATACGTACAGGTTTTGCCCTGCCCATCCCGAGTATTCGCGTACCAATCCGTTACTCAGCTGGCACTCCGGGGAAATCCAGAAATCGCGGAAAAGGAGCCCGCGCGAAAGGAGGGAAATTAAGGAAACAGACTCAAAGTTCGACTTCCCTCGTATTCGTGCCCGTTACGACGACAGATCCTAAATAATTTGCAATTTTGATGTTTCACGATGCTTGATAATATCAAGATAGTGAAGCAAACGTCACAATTATCGATACATTTTTGAGTAATCGCCACTTTGAATGTTGATAAAATGTTTCTCGATGGATAGATTGTGTGATCGTAGAATAGATTATAGGCCTCAATTTGCTTATACAAGATGAAATCTGTCAGTTTTGGGACACAATAATAGTATCTTCTACCTTTTTTCTATAAATATAATAGTTCATTTTATATATAAATTCTGAAGAAACAGACCACCAATGTTCCAATATTCGACCACAAGTGTCCCAAACAAGAACACAGTAATTACCGCTTAAATCGACATGGGAAAAGTTGCGATCGTAATATATTTCTCTCTAAATACTGCAAAACTAATTAAATTACCTATAGTTCAATTAATATTATACAAATACTACAATAATTTTTAAAATAGAGATTATATAGTTTACTATCAAAGTTCATTTCACGTTTAAACTGTAAACTTATGTTGGCCATTTTGTTACGATAGGATTAAAATAGACTTCAAAATTGTAAGTGACGGGTGGTTTTTTAAACAATGCAATCCATACAATGTACGAAAAGATCAAAATATATTTGTTTTTTCGTAGCGACGGTCCTGTACAAATGAAGAGTATCCGTTTCCAAAAAACAAATAGAAACTTTTTAACTATTCCTCGGTTGGAGAACGTGGACGTTTGTAACGGTCGTCCGACCGAGTCGAGGCTGAAGAACAGTTAACAAGTTCATGTGTTTTTTTTTTTTTGAAAAGGCCCTGTAGAGTTTAGTATGCACCTAATTTAAGAAATCATACATTTAACCTGACTTCGAATGGTTTTAAAGGTTTAAAATTCCCGAAGAGGAACTTTTACCGATATAATAAATAAAGAATTAAAATATTCCATGTAGGCCTTTAAAAGTTTGTTGCAGCAGTAACCGAACATTCTCTATTTAACCCTATGACTCGTACGGTTGTATTATTTGTACGTTTCTGCAGTAATTGCACGAGAACTGCAATAGAAATGCCCGAATTCGCGTTACTAAGAGAATTAGTTTTCAACTTCTTTTAAAAAGTCTGGCAATTTCTTGAAAACTGTTCTGGTTGTCCGAGAAGTGAAAACATATCGGGACTTACTTCCTGGAACAAACTGAGGAACGTAGATCGGGGAGGCAATCACGGTATTCATCAGGACGTTGCCTAGAAGAACGACGGCCCAGGCTTGTCTTTGTCGATCCCACATCTGAAACAGAGGAAAGACGGCAAGTTGTAACTAGCGCAAAGAAACGATTCGTACGTAACGTTAGCTCGGTAACGTGGCCACGTGAATACCATTCTTTTCGCGACACATATGAGAAAATTCTCACGGAATGGACGAGACCAGGGACCCTCTCTTCGACCGACGACTACACGTTTCCGGAATTAATTCGCGTTACAGAAACTAGGCGATACGCGTGTCCAATTTCCTCCCTCTTTCCCCGTAACCGTACATTTTTCTACGAGTCCGAATCTTTGATTCCAGACAATTGTAAATCGCACGAAAGTTAACTCGGCACTTATTTTTGCTCGATAAAATTTACGAATCTTGTTTAAATTTATTTTAAAAGGTTTATTGCAGTCGTATACAAACCAATACACGAACAGTCTGTTATCAGTTTTGGCAAATTACAATATTTATCGATCGTTCTTGTACTAAGATTAAACTTTCACACGATTCGACGATTCGAATTTCGCCGTTAACGAGCAACAGTTCAAGGCTAAACCACCATTTTAGCCATTTTAGCGAAATCTGTAAAACGATGCAAGGCGTTGATGATTACGAATTACAAAAGATAAGAGGAAGACGACGAGACATTCAGTCTCGCAGTATCGCCGCGAGAATAGAAAAGTTCGAGTGAACGACCTTATGTGAACGAACGCTCGTTTTCAACAAGGTGCCGAGCACGATATTACGCGAAAGCAAGAACAAGCCGGAGATACAGATTCGCAAACGCGATTGTTCCTATTCACGATTTTGTCTTCTATATTCTCTTTCGAGACGCTTTGGCACTTTCCTCGCGTCCGTTTCCCTTCGCCTTTCACGGCGACGCTAATGTCGTTTACGATGGCTGCCGTCGACGTCGAGTCACGGTTACCCGATATTTGTCGTGCAAGAACCGAGTTACAGTTATTCGGAAGCAAGAATTCGGCTGTAACGTTATACATATCCCGTCCACTCGGATCGTGGATCGTCGTGTCGATTCAAACAACGCGTTCCACTTTCCCGAGCCGTTCGTAATCTTCGTGCCCCGTTTTCCTGCAAACTAAATTGCGAGTATCGTAGCTCCCTCAATTCCTACGCATCGGAGGTAGATGGAAAATTAAAGATACCGCGATGATAATAAAATTATTGTGCTCGAAATGGAGGCAAATAATACCACTAATTTTTTGTCGCGAAATTCAGTCGCGTAATTCTAGTTTTCTTTCACGCCGCCCGAAGAAATGCAATGATCTCATCCAGTGTGCACTCGCTCCTCCTCGTTGAGGAAGTGATAAAAACCGTTACAGTTACCCAGAGGCAGGAATTCGGGTGGATGAAGCAACAAATGTCGACGTGAGTGGCGCGTTGGCTTGTCGATGGTCAGGTTACTGGTTTCCTGCTTCTGATTAGTTAGGCGACAGTTATCTTCCCCGCCTCGATTCGGAACGGACTATTTCTGCCTTTTCTCTATTTTCCTTTCTTAAACGCGTGCACCTCGGTAGTCCTGAGAGACCGCGATCGTTTACAATTTTCTAGTACTCCCTTATTTCAAACAATCCTTTCCTCTCAGTACCATTAATAACCTCTTTGTAACTTCGTATTACCTTGATCGATAACTATCCTTTTCTCGATTGCTTCTGATACAATCTTGAACGAGTTTAATCATTTTCACGTACATACATTTTCTGGTAAGAGGCTTCGTTTTTTGAGAAAATCAATTTTAAAAGTACTTGAGCTATCATTTCTTCCAGTAAAACAGAATAATTCGATAATTAAATGTTACTTTCGTTCCTAATCAAAGTGGCGTGATCTACAATTTTACAATACGGTTCTTCCATTGAAAACAATATGACGCGTTGTAAGTTCGAAGCACCGGCCATCGCGGCAGTCGACGCGCCAAAAGCGCGCGTATTTTAAATATCAGTTTTCTCGAGAACGAGGCTACGCACGAGAAACTTGTTTCGTATGTTTTCGATTTATTTTTTCGCATAAAATCGCATGATTGTTCTATGTACTATTTACGACGAGACTTCGTGCGGTGTTGCAAAGAGAAATTTACGAGTTTCCCCTATTTTTCGTATTGTTTTATAAATAATCAGAACGCGAAAGAAATATTTTTCCGCGTTCCAGTATGATATTCGTATCGTATTCTCGTATCGGTTTGTAGAATATCGAGATTAAAGACGTTGAAGACGAAAGCGGGCAACGTGCACGCGCGTTTACGCGCATTTCTATATAAAAAGCTTTTGTTTTAACGCGGTACGTAAGTCGTAACGGTACCAGCCACTTTCATTTGTACGCACGTATCTAATGCGAGGCGCACATGTGGGTTGGCGCCGAAGTACGGTATAGGGGAATAAAACATTCGTTCGGAAACGAGGTGGCCATCGGTATCAGCCAGCACTCGTTAATCCTTCGCGTTCAAGAACGTTTATGCTCAAAGTTATTTACGAAACGTAACGGATCGAAAACGATAAAACGTTTAAGTAATCAACAAATACAGTTGTAATAAAAATGTGTAAAATAATTTGGTAACCCAAACAAGTTGTTTCAACGCCGGATTATATGCTTCGACTTTATTTTTCGGTCGTCCTCTGTAATAAAAAGTCCTCTCCGCCAAACGAATACACGAGAAAAAAAATACATACGGGTATGCACATTAAAATAAGGTTTCTCTTCGTCCGTCAACCAAAGCAGTTCATCTTGTATTTATTATTAAAGTAGGTTTAAAATGTTTAATAGGCAATTGTATCGATTTAAGTTATAATCGTCGCGTGTTCTAGTCTGTGAATATCCAATAAAGTCGATAATGAGAATTATTTACATATGTTCGTATAAAAATTGTCATTTTGTCATTTTTGTTAAATTCAAATCAACTTAGCTATGAAAATATTTATTTAAGAAGGTACTCTATCATAAAATTTACGTGTAAATATTCTGTTGCACAAAATTATTCAAGTTATAAAATGTTTATTCTTATAACTATATAGGATATCTTTCAAAGCATTCTAGATTTTTGAGTACGCGTATCGCAATAACAATTGGATATCTTTATCTCGTTAAATATTTTTTACTCTCTTCTCGTCGAGAGGACGTGCAATTGTCAAGTGTACTCTTTCCCTTGTAGATTAGAGGCAGGAATTTTTCTTTTAGTCGAACCGTCTTATCGAGAATCCTTACTCGTTTCATAAAATGTTCCTCTTTTTGAGTTCTACGGTCTCCTTGTTTGAGTATTCGCATTGAATATTGCTGGGAAAAATTAACCGAAGGTTTGCTATCGAATTAACAACATATAACTTTTCTTGTCCCTTGAGAGACACGGCTCGACTGCTGAGGGTTAAGAGCAATGTCGTAAATACCTCGGTTTAATCGTCGAATCGAGCCCCCCATATTCCGGGCAAAATATTTCTGAGCAGTACCGTGTGTTATTTGTACATAAAATTTATGGACTACAGACTAGGAACTTAATTCATTTTTCGCTAATTCCTAAAAAGTCTTTCAATATTATGCATATACGTACAGTTGTTCGACACTAAGACTGGAACTATTCGTTGAATTTTTATGTATTCGAATACCGCTGGAACATTTTGTCGCTCCAATACTATTTCAATACTTAAACATTGCCCTTTTTTAACTTCATGTTTCATTAACGATACTCTATGCAATATTTTCATTTCAATAAAGAAAAACTAATGCGTGCATATTGTTTGGTGTAAGCATTCACTTTCTGCAATCGCTATGTTTCCGTCGAAACGACTGTACGAAGTAAAGGAACTTCTTTTCGTTTAATTTCTACCATCGTAACGGATCCGTGTTTCTATTCGTTCATCGGAATAGTAATAATTTTAATAATAATATACGAATACTTAAACATTGAAAGATTGGAGGAGAACACAGTCTTCCCAAATGTTTCTGTATTGCACACCGAGTGTTCGAGCGTTTCCGTTCGTTCGATATTAGTAACATTTTCCATGGCGTAACCGTTTCGAATCGTCGTTATTTAACTTGTAGCGGGAAATAAGCCTTTTTGGCATGCGTTTTGTTCGTTCTTTTTCTTTTTCGGTCGGTTCGTGAATCACATACGAAACGAAGCGATGTCATCGAGAGAATGACACTCATACTAAGGTTACGGCGTTCCGTGAAAGTTTGAATTCTGCTTAAAGGAACGAGCGGTACCGCTATTCGTGAACGACATACGGTTCGCTTTGGCAAATCGCTGGCAACCGACTCGGAAATTTCTTTGGCTCGGTAAATACTTGTTCGCTAACAAGCGCATGTAACGTCGCGAATTAATTGTGCAACGAACGCCACGGATGAAACGCTTCCACGTTGCATTTATTTACATCGAATTCGCTTGTAAATCGTATCGCGGTTCAGTCGGTCCCATACATCTCGCGTTCGTATCACCGGCGAAGCACCGGCTAACGAATCGTCGCCGAATATATTTACACGTTAAACGAGGAAACAGGAAATCGTTCGCATAATGCAAAATATACCGTATCGATCGATCAATTAATATATTAGTATCCAATTACCACCCGAACGCGAGACACGCGATCTCGTAAATATCATAAAGTATTCATAATGCAAACAACGATTCGCTAATGGCTGACGGCGAGCTCAATTCGTTCGATCCTCTGTTTTCCAAGACCTTGGGAATCTCGTAACATTACCTTGAACGATACCAGCGAACAACCGCAACGATGAAGACTTCTCCGTGGTCAGGCTCCAAGAGGCGTCATCCCCCCAGCGAACACTCCTGAACGACCCTCTGTTCGCCGATAAAAGTCACCCCCCAAAACACCGGTCGCGTAGGTCGAACGCCGAGAAAATTGAATTACGCGCGCGCGCGCGCGCGAGACCCGTGTCACCGAGTATCGATCGATCGACGTCGAAACCTCGAGCGTGACACCTTGCACCGATAATCTCGTGGAACTCGCGAGATCGAAGAGACTCACGTCGACAGGATCCCCGGTCGATCGATCGTAAATCGTCGAGACCGC